CAGGCAAGCAATCCACTAAAGAATAGCACTCAACCTTCAAACAGAAAATACACCAATTGTCCTCCCAGCATATTCACTAGCTATGTGGAAACTCATGAGGCTTCGTCCAACAGAATGAAAGGTTCTCCTCTTGCACTGAATGGGTTAAAGCACTTGCACTCTGTCAGATCAGCAGTTCTTGCAATGCTAACATGTCCAATACTGGTTTCCTCTCTGCCACTGCTGATTCCACTAGCAAGGGCAGGATTTTGCCCTCAACTATTCACAAGTAATTAATGCATTATTGAACAGGAATAAATAGATAGCAATTAAATAACAAGTATTAATGACTTATTTATTAACATATTAATAGTTGGCCTGAGAGTAATAAATGCAAATTACTGTAAAGTGGTACCAAAAATTGTGTCGATAATAGGCCCTGAAGTAATCTTGTGTGTTCAAGATAATTACAAATATATTTTCCTTTCAAAAAACTACTGCCGGGTAATTTTTTATGGTTTTCTATAATATCATTTTAGAATTAGAAAATGAGCCCTAGTCTCATTAAAATAATTCTGCAGTGCATCAGGCTTTACTTGAAGTGTAAGTTTCACATTATCTTTTTGCCTATACAGCTTGCATTTTTTCAGAAAGCTACTCTACGTGCAAGGTTTTTGAGTACATGCTTGGTATACTAAAGGTGTTGTTTCAGCGTAGTGCTTGTCTAACTTTTCTTGTCTCTAGTATTGCTATGCAAAAAGTCCTACTGCAAGAAGAGATGGTACCCTGGCTCTAAATCCCAACTGATAACAGTCAATTTTTTTCCCTTCATCCCCTGCTAGTTCAGAGGCTTTAAATACGAACACAATGGTGCACTGGGCATTGTACGCCTAACAACTAATTCAGTCATGACAGAACCATCCTTAATCAGAACCTGTTTCACTAGAGATACTTCCCTTTTTTTCTTTTTCTCATTCTTTCATTATCTTCCTCTTACCTGGCTGAGTAAAGGAAACCCCCCACTTTATACCTTCACTTAGTTTACTTTGGGAAAGTGATTGCTTGACGAGAACAGCGAGATATTGTCACTTTAGGAACATCTACCAACAAGAAAAAAGCTATACTGAAATCCTGATCTCCCACTGATCAATGGGAGGGTCAATGGATGGGTCAATGGATTGCTATTTATTCTTGGTTCTGGTATCCCCAGTATGGGATTTGACACAAAGTTAACATATGCACACCTCCATAAAGCTCCATAAATGGTCACATCCATCTCTCTATCTGTAACAGGACGAAAGGTGGGAGCTCATGCTTCCCCCTTCTAGAAGGTTCACAGGACACTGTTTCAGCACATGCTTCTGCCAGAATTTGTAGGTGGCATTTTTACTTCTTTGCAGCCTGCCTCATTAAATACACTGTAAATGACTTCTTCCAAAATAATCAAGTGTGTTGCTGTGCTGTGCCGGGCTCTGGTGGCTCTCTCCCCACAGTGCATTCCAGACTGCTGTGTAAATGTGATTGTGGCCATGTAATCTGTGTACCTGGAAATATAATTCGTTTTGTTGCTAATGAAGGTCCTACGGCACAAATTTATTAAGGTATACTTTTCCATGGGATAATAATTGGGTCGATAATATTAAACTCATAGGCTCATTATTTAATTGCAAGGGCAGATTATGAATACAGCTTCTAAAATGTATTTTAATGAAAAACACTACATCCTGACCTAATCATATCAACCTTATGCTATCTAATTAAGGATGCAAAAAATCATTAGAGTTGCAAAATATTAGTTCCAGCTCCATCAGGCTGCTAGCTGCCCCTTCATGAATATATATATTTTTTTACTCTATGATAAATAGTTAATGAGGTAAAAATGACAAAATTTGCATGTAGGCAAATTAGTTTAATAGAGTGATGTCTTCCTGGTCTACAGAAAGTGACCTTTTTCCTATCAAAAGAATGACTAAAAATACTTTGAAATGATGGCATGGATGTCATTCCCCAAATGACAAATCGCTTCTCTGAACAATATAAAAATTATAAAATGCAATAACCTTAAATTCTCATCATACTGTAAATGTGTCCTCTGCTGCTGCATTTATCAATTTAATAAAAGGAAATTAAGCATATTATAAAATACCCATTTATGGGGCAATTTTTAATCCAGGGAATAAAAATGAGAAGCACATGGTTAATAGCAAGAAAATACTGCAAAGACACAGGCCTATTTTTTTCCAGAAGGTTTGACCAACTATTTACTCGAATGACCTCCATTTAAAGCATATTTTTTATATGGAGTGATATAAGATATGCTCACGCTTCTCTTTTTAAAAATTGCTCACAGTTAATTTGGTATCTTATTTAAAAATTAACACATTAATAATGCACGCAATAAGGCCTAGTGATGTGTCTTCCATACTGATTACCTTGTACAACTAGACATGCATAAAGAAAGGGATAAGACAAATACCTTATGCAAATTCATGGCAGAAAAAAAGGATCTGTGAGTATATGTAATGCCAAGGAACATGAAAGACCTGAAAACATAGATCTTGGTCTTGCTGCATGTGGAGAACTTATTTCAGGAGTGGAACATGTTTTTACTAGAAACCTAGATTCATCAAAGAAGAAATTAAATTGGTCCAGTGGTCCTCTTTTCCACCAAAATATAAGCAAAATGGAATGAAAGGGGGACATTTCATGTTTCTGGAGAACACTGTTTTTTTCCACAACATTCATGCACATAGCTCAGGAGTTTGGGGCAGAATTCTCCACTCACAAGTTTTACCTATTATGAGGCAGATTCTGTGCCAAGTGGGAGAAATAGGAGAAACCTACTGCTCATATTGTCTGCAACAGTACATCCCACAGAGAACAGCAATGTTTGACACTATCACAGCTTTGCCTTTAGCTAGGGCTGATATAAAGGAAAGGCATGAAACTGTTGCAGATGCAGGCAGAGTAAGAGTCAAAAATTCGGGATCTTAAGACAGAGATCAAAGCAGGCATCATCCTACTTTGTTGAAATGAGATAGCACTGTTCTCTATGCCACACAGAAGTGTCCTCTTTCTGCTCTGACTGCATCTTTCTGGCTACTGGATCTGACTGGGGCTGGGTACACGTTTTAAAGGATCTCAGACAAAGGTCAGGTCCCCTTTGATGAGGCAAAACTAGATGCTTACTTTATGTCCATAGCCATTGGTCATGTTTCATAATACACTGTCATTTAAGTATGATACCATGCTATATTTTAGCAGTGGACACTCCTGATTTCTGTCAGTCATGGGCGGACTATTTGTGTACAGAGAAACAATTTTTATTTCCATTCTCTTCCACTTGTTTTTTACCCCCATCCTTTCCTACTTGTCATTTCTTTTTTTTTTTTTTTTTTCTTTTTTTTTCTCTTTTTTGTCACTTAGATCTTTAAGCACTACTACAAGAAATGATCTGCTGGTAATATCATTAGAAACGTACTCAATACCTAAAACACAAAAGCAGTTGTTTGCAGTTGCCTTATCCACCACCTTTTCCATATGGTATTGGTTGTCCTGGCATGTAAAATGAGATCCACCGTATATTTTTTGTTTGACCTTACTTAATATGTAATAAAGGCAGTAGTAACCAGTCATTAATAGCTTTGTTTTGACTTTCTGCAAAAAGTTTCTAAGTGAGAAAAAAAAGACACTAAAAGCTTCTTTTCTTGCTGTTATAAAGCAAATAATTACTATCTGTATAAAAACTGGGAATGTCTGAGGCAAATGGCTGTGGGAATGCTTTCCCTCCCCCATGCTGAAATGCAGCTTGGTGCTCTGCAATTGAGGAAAAACAAAGCTTACTGAGTATCTGCTTTTTCATTCAATTGGCACATTCACCTTTTTATTTTTCCTTGCAGGGTCCAAACTGTCATCAAGAAAAAAAAGTGGAAAATAATTACAACTGCACCAGATGTTTATAGCAGTGACAACTGAGGCTATATATTTATATAAACTGCTGATCTTTCAGAGGTAGCTTTAGAGACTTGAAAAACCTGCAGACCCTAATGTGAAATCACTTGTTCCAGTGGGCTAGAAAAGAAAAGAAAAGAAAACAAACAACTCAGACATGCTTAAGAGGGATAATTTCCTTCCTAACTAGAATCTGTTCATTTTTACATTGAAGCAGAAGAATTGCTGAGCAAAGCATTGTGTTCTGAGGCAGTCATAGATGTATTAATCCAGTTGATGAGCACGTTAATTATTGTTCATGAGCTGTTTTTGAGATAGTTCTATGGTAATTAATAATGATGATGCAAAGGTGGCTGGAGAACAAGGAAGAAAATACACCTTGCAGATTACTGACCATGTAGCTTCAGGTGTTTTCAATTCTTTGCAAGCCATTATGATCAGAAGCTTCATTTGTAGATGGGAACCCAACACCAGACACTTTGCAAACACAAATATATTTCCTGCACATCACAGCTTAAAATCTGGATATGGGCTTAGAGGCTAGCGTCCTAACAGAAAAGAAAGCAGAATTGCTTGATAACCAAAGTAGCTCAGACCAACTTCAGACCTTTCCTAACTCTCAGTGCACAGTTCCACATCAGTCCACACTTCTGGACAGTTCTAGAAGGGCTGGGAAAGACACTGTCACAACTCCTAACCCACTATACTCGTGTCCCCCTCCTCTGGTCAGTCCCATCCATGCCCTTCCAGAGAGCAGATTCAAAATGTCTATAGGATTTCACAGTTTGCTGAGAGCAAGTCTCTGTAACCCAATCAGAAATCTTCAGATAGCATAGATAATTTTTGCCATCAGTGATGCTGTCAAGTATCTCTCTAAAGAGATGTTAAGCAGACTGAAATCGCTCAGGATGTTCAGAGAATGGACATACACCCTTCTCATCAAATTCTCTTCTTAATTAAAAAAAAAAGGAAAAAAAATGAAAAAAAAAAGAAAAAAAGGAAAAAAAAAAAGCCCCTACAAATCATTTTCTTATATATTTATGTCCATATGTGCAATATCCAGGAAATAAAAGAATTTGAACTAGTGATTCATTGACTTTTATCACTCTTTTTCACTCACCATCCGTCTTTCACCATTGATTCCTCTCCACTGCTCAGCTCTTTTCATAATGTAGCTCAGTTCATGAATGGAAATCTCTAAGTCCAATGGAACGAAGAACGTGCCTTCTTCACCATGAATGCGTCGAAATACATCCAACAGCCACCCCTCACTATGTAGCCTATGGACAGAAATGACATGTTTGTTTCTTTCTGGAAAGGACTCCTTATACAAATAAGCGTATCTTACCCTTTTGTAGACTTCTAAATTTTCTGCTTATGAGTAAGGAGAGAACCCATAGGTTCTCCAACGTATAACTTCCTCCCTCCCAACCTTCTAGGCCCTTTACAACACTTGAGTCGGATCACATAACTGCAAGCAGCAATTTCTTTTAATTGTCACAAGATATTCACTGCCAAAGAAGGTCCTGATCTTCAGAAATGTCCAGTGTCGGTTTTTAGCTTTGGGCTGCGTATCTATTCCCAGTGCTAAAATGGAGAACCTTCAGTTAGGCATGACTGGGAGTCCTGTTGTGCCAGAGTGAAATAATTGGCAAACCACATCATATGGAAAAGGAATTACTCATCATTTTTGAAAACCCCAAACCTGAAGCCTGTATAATCTAAACTACTCTTGATGTAAGAAAAGTTCATTTTGTTTGTTGGCTTTGTTTTTCTGTGACATTTCTGTGCTGTGGTAGGGAATTGAATAAGCACCACACAGTAAAATTCTCTACCACAAGAAAGGCGTGCTGTGTGGTATTTCTTAATGTAGGTGAAACCAAGAAATATTGTGAGGCTTTTGGAAAAGCCTAGTGTCACATTTTTAGCCTTAGATGAACTCTAAAACTTCAAAACACTGTTGTTTAATTCAAATGGAGCTTCTTTCTCATTCAACTTTTATTCCAAAACCAAAAAAAGATCAGAAAATGTGGAATCTCAATCTTGGATATTGAACTGAGGTCCTTCTTTTTGTACTCTCTTCCACGCTCATACTTTGTTACAATTCAGCTATTGCTTGGTGCCAGCCTTAACTTTTCCATCCTTTCCAGAGACCAGCTGGGTAGTCATGAGAAGCATAGGGATTGCTGTGTGGCTTTGCAACCAACAAAATACCCAGATTTCTGTGGTGCTGTACAGGTCTTTTATTTCTTGGCAATTGGGAGTGAGCACAAGACAGCTTCTTTAACCCTCTGAATTCTTGTCAACAAGATCAGAATGAAGTTGGCATTTGCAGTAGCTTTACGTCGTGCCTTACAGTGAACACAGTAATTGCAGAGAAACTCACTCAATAAGCTGTTTATACAGTTTCCCCTAAAATTGAGATTTGGCATGGAATAGAAATAAGGAAAGGCTCCAAAAGGCAAATTTTCAACTTGATCTCAGAAGGAGCTTTGGCTCTTGCAATCTTTCTATTTGTTTAAGTTTCCAAGACGTCAGTGTGGGATTCCCTTACCAGAAGAGGAGACTGGATGGAAGGCAACCTAACTGAGATGGTGGTAACCCTGGCAATATAAGGAAGTTGGTTATGAAGAAAAAATAAAAAAATTCCAAAGCGTGGAATACAAATCAGTGCAAGGTAGAGAAGGATACTAAGGCATCTTAAAACACATTATAGAATAATTTTTTGAAAAAAAACATGATCAATACCATTCAAAGTGTATTTCTACATGTTCTACAGCTTCTTTAAGGAAACATTTGTCTCTTAATATCTGGATTACGTTAGATGTTCATTTTACTACATTTTTGCAAATGTTGACCCATAATTTTGTTTTGTGCTTAGTTGAAAAACTAGTAATCAAGCTGGTGGTCTCTCTGGCCTTCTGCTCATTTTGAAAAATGATTTTGTATGCTGTTAATCTTTGAAATTCCAGGTCAGCAGTTTCAATGACTTGCCACTTATCTTGCTAAACAAGAACAAGACCTCACCATTTATTTAAACTCACTTAATGTAACATTCTTATTTTAAACAAAGCAAAATTTAATGCAGTTAAATTACTGTCTATTTGCTGCCATAAACATTTTCTATATGAAGATTTTAAGTGCATGGTAATAAACAATATAATTAACTTTGAATTAATTAGGAATCGTGAAGCCTGTCTTCCAGCTTTGTTCCTTTTGCCCAAATGTACTCAGCCTGCTCCTGACACCTATTTTATTCCTTTTTTTTTATGTCATTACCACTAATAAAACACTTGTTGTATGTGCACATGGCTTTTACAGATACAGTAGTAATAATTTATATTGCTAATGTAATAGAGCAAAGCAAAATTCAGATGCTATTTCCTAGAGATATGAGAGACCCAGTAAATCTTACAAGTTCCTTAATTTGTCAGAAAGAATCACAAAAAAAAGATTGAAATGGCTTACTATCCAGGGTAAGATTAAAAAAAAAAAAAAAAGGATTTCTGAAAAATTCACAAACAAAAAACTGAAGAATGCTTACAACAATTTATTGCACCCTTATTTTTTCCTTTCACACACTTTTTTGGAAAAAAAAAAAAAAAAGCTGTAAAAACATTAAAACCATTTTGTTGTTAGCCTTGAAAAATGTCGAATTTTGAGGCTTTTCCAAAAAAAAAGAAAGAAAGAAAGAAAGAAAAAGAAAATCCAATACCAGGAAATTTAGACATAAACACTTTCCAGCAGACACTTTCAGTTTGAAATAGGTCTGCATTTTCTCACAGTGCAGAAAACATTTCAACAACAAATTACTGACTGTTTCTAATGTCTGGTGGAATTTAAATGAAGGAACTGCAACAAATGCTACTTCATTTTTTCATAAAGTAATTAGAATATCCCTCCTTTGCAGATGTACTACAGACTTTCAAGTTATCCAAGAAGAGCCAGTTATACTGAGGTATGCTGTTTTACGAAGACACAAGAAGTTGCCTATTGATTTTGGTAGCTTCCCATTTGTTCATCAGTGCTACCAGGAAGCTCTTGAGCTGTGGCAAAAACAGACATTTCCCCTACTTGCTTTGGCATCCTGGTGAGTTCACCGTTCTTATCTCCTTTTTTGTACTCTACTGAGCAGTTCTGCTAAATGGCAAATGGCTGAGTAACTCTAATCAATGGAGTCAACTCTACCACCCAGCTCTTTCCCATGGGTGGGTTTCTGCAGACACAGAAGACACACCTCAAGATTTGTACTGGTTCACCATACAAGAGAAGAATCCGCCTTACAATGCGGTGGTTGTAAGGGCAAAAACCATGTTTTCTGAGTCCAGCAACATTCTACTCTTGGAATATTTTTGGGATACAGCATCTGGGGACGCTGTATACACCCACCAAGGGGGATTACTGCCTTGTTTATCATACTATTTTCCCTTAGAAACAAAAGCCAATATCAACCTCTAGGGAACACACTTAAGGTTATGAATTGAAGAGATGTTTTCCTTAAAGATATTTGAAATTGTTTTAACATTATCATTAGTGGATAACATGTTGCTGAAGAGCCCTAGCCAGGTCTTTACTGTGCTAGGCTGTGGACAGATAAGGAAGAAAAAGATAAAAAGTTGATCCAATTTCAGAAGCTCACAGTATAAATTTACTCTGCACACTCTCCAGTATTCAAAATGTTTCTTTTTGTAATCAAGCAAAAAACTTCAAAGACCTTACACACTATAACAGATTTTGTTATCTTCCCTTAGCTTTCGTATTTTGCTATGAATCATTTTAAAAACACAACATACTAAGACAACATTTTTCCCCCAGTAACATTCTCTCCCCACCCCTTTATTGGAAAACATTATGGGAAAATTGATCCAGAAGGAAAGGAACCTTTGATGATCTTGCACCTGTTCCCCAGACAATGAAGATGTTGGTAATATTCTCATAAAAACCTGCCTTACAAATGTTTTAATTTAAATTAATTTTCCTGAGTAATAAACGACAGCAGCTAAAACTTATGAAGCTATTCAAAACTATTAAGTCGATGATTAAGAAGGCATTAACATCTCAAAAACTAATTAACTAGACTACCAGTTCATTGGAGTTGTGTACAGCTTCCAGGAAAGCAGGAGCTTTGAAATACTTTGCAGAAATGTAGATTGCCATTTATCTTTTTCTGCCTGCTGCAGTGGAGTTTGTGCGAAGGAGACTGAGGGATGGTTCTGTCAAATGGAAGGAGCATACTGAGCTTTGCTATTCTCACACCTGCCCGGATCTTGCCTCTTTGTACAGATTTTTATTGGTGCTTGCTTGATAATCGCTGCAGTGAATGCAATGCAACATTCAGTACTTTATTAGGTAATATATTAGACAGTCTTTCTCATTTGCTTCCAGTGCCCCAGACCTGTCCATACTGCCTGTACAGTTAATGGAATATGCCAGACAGGTGGCAGGAAAGGCAACTGTTCAAATTTCATGATGAACAGAAGTCTATTAATATTGCTAACAGACAAAAGTCAAGGAAAGATTATTCAGATTAAGTCATGTCATGCACCAGGTTTAAGCCTCAGTCACATCAAGTCAAATATCCTGCATCATCCCATGGACGTACGAGTCTGGGGGCTGCTGTGGACACAGGAAGAAATTTTGCACTTCATACCACACGTACCTTTCTAAAGTTTTTCTGTTTTTGCAAAAACCCTCCTAAGAAGTCCATTGAAAAGGTTTTCCAAAGTACCTACATGTAAAGGATGCACACTTCAGAGCTTAAACTGTGAAAACAGACACCACTGTTAGAAACCAGTGGAACAGAGTCTCGTAGATACTGTGAAAACTCGTGATATCAATAACATTCCCTTTGAGATATGGCTCCATCTTTCACTCACTGTGCCTACAGGAACTAACCCCACCTCGACTGTCTGCAATTTTAGGCTCAGTATATGTGACACTGAAACATCTTTTCTGATGTCATCTTATTTTATCTTACAGGAGAAGGAGCCTGAGCCTAAGCTCCTCTGGGAATAATGAGATAAAAAGACATACCTTAGAAAGTAAAGGTACAACACTGTCGATGAGATGATGAACAGGACTGTGTAAAGCATCACAGTGATTAGTGCTCCAGAAACCCCCGATTCCTCCGATCTTAGAAACACCCAGTAGAGCTTTGCAGCATCAGCAATGGGTTTCTCTACACTGTACGCAAGTCGCTGCCGTAGGAGAAAAAAGATGAACATAAGAAAATGCCAAACTTAATTAGGCTCTGTACATGCAGACACAGAAGAACATCAATTTATTTCTAAAAGTTTAACTGTAATTTGTGGGACGTGCATCTTAAAACTTAGCATACTATTTGTATATAAAGAGTTAATACTCATAGAATTAAAATATTAATTTAATAGGGGATAATGCAGTTTGCTGGGTTTTTTTTTGTTTTTTTGTTTTACAATGATTCACAAAGAATGCTGAAGATTTCACAGCTCTCTACGCTTCAATCTACTTCCAGTAATACTCAGGAAAAGGTTTTCAAAAAATCTATTACCCTCCTTTCCCCCTCCTCCTCTCCCCCCATATCTAATTCTTGAGTACTAACTACTGTATTGACATATTATTGCCCTCTGCTGGATCAATTTAGAAGAATACAACTACATATCACAGGTCTTCTACTACTCAGAGCTAAAATAAATTCTTCCATTCACATTTTTTTTTTCTTTTTGAAAAGTGACACGATGACAGCCATATTCATCCTAAATAATATTAACACATTTTGCAAGGACACGTGAAACTGCAGCACCAAAACTTCCAGTATTTATCTTTCAGAGAGGGAGCTGGTGACCTTTGGCATTCAGGAACCAGCATATTCTAGAGCAACCTGCCTGGACAAATCCTTAGGGAGTCAAAACTTTCTCCCTATTGTTGGCCACCTTTGTGGTGACATGCATAGTAAAAGAGCAACATTTACAAGTCCTGTGATGAGCCATACATGGAATGTGATTCTTGACTGTACTTTTGTTCTCTCTCCACCCTTTGCAACACTGCCAGGTTTCTGTAATGGAAATTACAGGTCCCAGGAGACCAGTAATAGCATATAAAAAGTAGTCACTAATTTAGATCTGTCAGTATTCTTAAAAAAATAAATAAAAAAAGAAAAACGGTCTCTTAGTTCTTCATCTCCCTGTTCTGTCCTCTCTTCTTGGAGGGAAAAAAAAAGCCTCCATCCTCTTACAAAATAGACTGTCTACCAAGGAAAACCCTCTGCTGAGCAGTCACGTTCTGATATGCCTCCAGAGAGGCAAAGTCTGAGTGGCAAATAAATCTCTTTCTTATCCGAGCTGTTCTTTCTGACAAGGCAAAAACAGTGTGGAGAAGTGCATCTCTTTATCCATATTTTTCTAATAATGAAATTGGGGCAATTTTTTTGTGGTCTTCAATGTTACAATCCAAGAAAGGCGCCTTCATTTTCAATTGTTTAAGTATTCTAGCATTCATTGATAGTGTTCATCAACATCTGTCTTAGGTACTTGTCACCACACACAGTGATGGTCGTGTGAGCACTTCACAGTCTGTCATGTTTTTTTAGTATGACACACATCTATATGGGTATGAAGAGGCGTTATTCTGAATTTTACAAGCTGTGCAAAGTGACTGATCCTAGGAAAAAATCTGTCAGAACTGGACCTTGAACTGAATTCATCACAATCACGGACAAGTTTCTTATGTCTAGAATGATCTGCCTGCAAAGCAAAACTGGAATCACGCATTTGACACGATATCTTGAAATATGAGCTGAAATTCCCAAACATTCAATTCTTATCTGGTCTCTTCTTAAAAATAAAAAAAGTAGTAAATGGAGAAACTTTTGTCCCCAGGGCTCTCCGTCATCTTTCATAAGTATTAAATCAATTTAGAATAGTAAAATACACTCTAGCACTAAAATTACTCATATTACCACAGCACAACATTTTTTTAAAAACTTGCTCTAAAATAGATTGGCAAGTAAGTCTGAAATAGCTGCTGAAAGAATGCCAAGATTAAAAAAACACACGAATGCATGACCAAAAACACATGTAAGAGACATAGTTTCATTTTGGAAGGGATACACACAGTATATTGTGTAATATTCGAACAAATGAGTTTCTACCAACGATAATCTCTGCTGGTAAAATTGCCAAATTTTCAGTATGATGTACAGAGAGAGTCGTGCCTTTTTAAACCCTGTAACAAAAAACTCAGTAACTTTATTCATATCTCACATTTCCCTCTGACCAAGAAAAGAAGCTGTGTTTGAAACTGGTAACGAAGGCAGCCTGAACAGAATGAAGCACAATTCAACAGAAGTCAAAGGCAATGATTTTCTCAATGCAAGTATGGTAATGACAAGGTAGACCTAACTCAGCATTTCCTTCAGATTTTATGAAGCATCAGTATTGGGCAGAGGGGAAGGAAATCTTTTTAAACACTAAGATATTTCTAGCCCATATATTGGTGAAAAAGAAACATATTTCTCCTTAGAAAAAAAAATTATTCATGATAATAATCACAACTAAAACTCAAATCTGTGCATGGTTTGCACCATTAAAAACAAACAAACATAAGAAAGAAAACAAACCAGGCTGTACAAGTGAAAGCTACAGTGTGTTGCCACGTTTGGCAGTCTAGGCATTAGGCAAATTAGGCAGTTACCTCACAAACAAGCTCCAATTAAACTTCTTGAGCAGCTGAATTTTAATTTTGAAAAACACAGCAATCAGAAACAGCATGTAAACAACAGAGAATCACATTTTAAAAGGACTCCTTAAGAGCAGAGCACAGATTAGTGGACAAGGAAGCATGAGACATGCAAATACCAGACCAGTGACAAAGATGGTGGATTACTGCTTGATTTGGAGCAGAAACAGATGTCACCAAAGGCAGGCAAAGGAACAGCAATATCACAAAAGCTTACAGCTCCCTGTGCCCACTGATAGGGCCCATTGTGAGCCTTGGATCTGAAAGTCATATTCCAGGTGATTGGACACTGTCTCCTACGTGGCAGAGGTCTCCTTGCCACCAATGTATAGATGGGCTATGCAGTCCATATGCAGGCACAGGTGGAGCTGGGATCTTTGCTTTCAAGACTTTGTACAATGAGGGTATTTCCATGAGATGGCTGTCTTTGCATCTTTGTGTCTTCATGCCTGCCCTCACGGACACCCATCTGGAGTGTCCAGGCCTGGGGCCCGCAGCATAAGAAAGACATGGAACTGTTGGGAGAGTCTGGAGGAGAGTCATAAAGATGAGAAGAAGGGAAGGCTCCGAGGAGACCTCATTGCAGAACTTGAAGGGAGCTTAATAAATAGGAGGGGTACCGATGCTTTACACAGTTTGATAGTAATAGGGAATAAATAGAGGGAATGGCTTTAGACTAAAAGAAAGGAAATTTAGGTTAGAATTTAGTGGTGAAGCACTGGCACAGGCTGTTCAGAGAAGCTGTGGGTACTCCATGCCTGGAGATGTTGTTCAAGGCCAGGTTGGAGGGAGCCCTGGGCAGCCTGAGCTGCTGGGGGGCAGCCCTGCCCATGGCAGAGGAATTGGAACTAGATGATCTTTAAGGTCCCTTCCAACCTAAGCCATTCTATGATTCTGTGATCTTACAGGTGTTCTAGATGTGCCAGAAAAATTGATTATCTCCCATATTGGAGAACTGCATAACAGCATGTCCTTTTTGTTTTGCTAGTTTTTTTCAGTTTTTTTTCAATGCTCAGAAAAAATTCTGAAATGCTAATAATCATTAGCTTATCTATCTCCATTAATATCCAAAATTGAAATAATCCTTTTCAAAGCAGATGTGATCATTCCAGCGGTGGATTCACTTTCTCACCTCCATATATGGCTCGTGCAGTGATCTTAGTTTTATGCAGAAACACAGCAACTCCCTTAGATGGGGATTTTGTTAATAAAAAGGTAATGTATAATATTATTACTTAATTTCTTTTTAACTTTCATGTTCCATTGCCACGGGTGGAATTTCATATCTTCCGCTGATTCACTGAATAAAACAAACTTCTACGTCAAGGACTCACATCCAAGTTATTTTAAGTGACTTACCCCCAGGAATGAATCCACTATAAACACTGCCAACGGGTCCAGCACTGTCCAGAGTCCCAGAGCTATGATAAACTTTGACAAGAAGGAAGGGAATGAGTCAAATCGCTGCTGACAGACCCATCTGATCAGGACCATAAGCAGCAACCCAGCATTCAAGGTTAGGGGTCCCACCACGACCATGACCAATTCTTCACTGGTCTGCAGCAAGGAGTTCTGGTAACACAGTTCAACAGTGTGAGGGAAAAACTTGAATCTGTAAATAAGTACAGGGAGAAAATTTGTTTGTGCTCCTGGACAAACCATTAAAAAAGTAGAATAATGCATACAGCACATTACATTGTGAGGCTGTGTCCTTATCTTGGCCATAAAACATCAACCTAAACAGTATGAAGCTAAAAAACCACAAAGCCTCCTCCTGTCTGCTCATCCTTCTGTCCCATCTGACTCTCGTTTCAGCAGATGCACAACCAGGCCCCTGGGACTGGTCAGGCTGTATTACAGGAGGATGCTAGCTCCCATGAACAGCAGTATGAGCGCAGGCCCTAAAGCTGACCCCTCTGCAAACTGCAGCATGTTTGGGCTCTGCACAAAGTGACAAACGTGTCACTGAAGTGAAGACACAACCTGTAGCATCCTTCAAGTGACTGAAACACCCCTATTGCTACCATGCAAGAGGGATTTAAAAAGCTTTCCTAAGAAGTAAACATGCTGGTACTCTAGGAGGCATGATCTCATAATCTGATATTATGAGCTACAGATACTGAAATTTAAGATTGAACTGGCTTAGACTTCATTCCCAGCTACAGGTAAACTGGTTTGATTTGCACTTTGATTCTGATCTGAGTCAGATCAGCTACCACCATATTATGTGGGACTGGAAGGCGTTCAATTCAGACTCTTGTTCTGAGGATACATAGCTCCAGATTTGGATGCTGATCAGGGCATCTTGACTTGAGGGCTTATTAATGTAGCTGACTGCCTGGAACAGCTGTGATTAGTGGCTTTGAACATGACATCTTCCTGTCATACCTTGCTTTCTTCTGTTCCATTTCCTTTGCTTTCACAGATTTGATGCTTGGCCTCTCAGAAGTTTTAAGGCCAGATGGCTGAGCCTGCCTGGTCTTTGCAAGGTCGGAAGTGAGACATGGCTGGTCTTGCATAAAGATCTAGCAGGCAGCCCTAACTATGCCCAGTACTGTCCAGATTCTGCTCAGACATTCTGCTCAGATTGTAACTGATAACCCAATCACCCAATTTAGCACAAAGCAGAGACAGGGCATAGAGCTGCAAGTTACTGACTCCTAACAAATTATTTTATTTTTTTTAGAACTATATATGACTTTTTTTTTTTTTTTAATACTTTAAAGTGAAAACAATATGTATCTGTTCGCCTTGGAAAAATCTTTCCTACTCTAACTACAGCAGTTCTTTTTTGCTTTATATGCCTATTCTCTTCCCCACAGACACATATGGGAAACTCGGTATCCGTCACCTTGTGGAGTTATTCTTCATCTTTTTATTTCTCATGTCAAGTAATGACATGTAATGGTTTTCCTGAAGCTCTCTAGAGAGCTCTCATTCTTGATCCAAAGTTAATGTATCATATAGTTAAAATATGCCAACCCATTGTAGTCCTCACAGGAAAACTGATACATCAAGTCTAAATTCTTCTGAAGTATTTTACTCATAGATCACGTTGGTAACATCAAATATGATTTAAATGCTTCTTCAGTTTTGTGCACTTCTTAGCCATTTTGAAATACTTCATCCAAAATGATAAATGATTCTTGTGGAAGAAGATACATCATCTGCTGGATATATCAGAGAAGTAAAAGGTAAGGATGGCACTAGATGCATAAATGGATACATCCTGTTCTGAATTTAAAACACATACTACTAAGACATTCACCTTTCAGTTATGGTCACACGTACATACCTGGAACCTGGATGTGGTCACCAATTCTCTTCATAACATTCTTTGAATTAGGCAATTAGTAGAAATATTCCAAGAGAGAAAGAAGACAGCAGAACTCACTTTGTAACAGGAACTGAGATGCTCTGAAGGAAGAGCCACTGGCTATAGTAATGCAGGTAGAGTCTCAAGAACCAAAGCAACAAGACCAGCAGTACGAGCAGCCAGAAGTCCCAGGAACGCCAGTGTGCAGCTCCCAGTTCTGAGAAGGTCGCGTATACCCCAAAATGGAAATGCTCAGCAACCCTTCTGAATAGCTTCACCTTGACGGCAGAGCAGCGGCTGCAAACATATGGAAATAAAATGATGAAGAGTCCATTGGAAAAACATACAAGGAACAGCAGTCCCTGAAAGACAGTAAAGCACTGTTATATAGACAAATGTGTTCTGATCATAACATCTGATTGACCAACATGTCTGACACACACACAAAAAAAAGAAATTTGATTCCATTGAAGTCTAGATGATAAGCGGCTTCCTCCCAGGAACCATGCTGCTTTGATAAAGAACACAACATATCACAAGTTTTTAAACGTCTTTTGCTTTCATTTTGATAATTTTCATGCAAATGGCTCTCCAAGGAACACTTTTTCACTTATTTTCTTTCTGAGAAAAGGGTGAAAGAACTGCCATACTTATACTGACAACGTATTCATTTTATTTAAAACATGCGATCAGCTTTCTGGCATTCGCCTAAGAGAACTTCAAATAGCTCCCCTTTAAACTAGTTTCAAGTGGAAGAGGAAATGGAAAGGAACTTGCACTGTACAGTATTCTACTGACTGTGGTATCTGCCCTTTCAGCTAATTACAATACTGCTCCCAAGAGGGGGAAAAAAAAAAAAGAAAAAAAAGAAATGAGATGCACAGATGCAGTCTTGGCATTATATTTCCAAGAAACTCGAGTCCCTCAGCTGATTCAAAGCTGAAAAGACAGTAGTTTCTCTGACCTTTTGAAACTAACTGCTATGCTTATTTCCACTGATTTAAATGACTAAGCAGCTGAGATGCACAACTCTAGGAATAAATATGATGTCATTGTGTTCAAGCCATTATTTACACTGATTAGGTCTTTTGAAAGTTCATAAATATAAAGATCTTTTTGTAGATGCAAACATGCAGACTTTTTTAATCGTAGCATATGACTAAAGAAGTGACAGCAATATTCGCATAGTACTTTATAATCTTCAAGTATTTTCCTGTCTACATTTGCACGTCCCTTAGATAACTCTGTATGCTTCTTTCTCTAGTAGTCAGAAATCCCACATTCCTCATTGCTATTACAAATAGCCATGGAGAAATTCATAAATATTCTACACTCAGTCTAGGTTTGAGCAAGTGAGACAATTTTAAAAATTAAAAAAAAAAGAAAACAAAATAAATAAACAAAATCTGGTCAGCCATAGTCCTGGATTTTGGACTGGCCTTGGCATCACATTACTCCTGACATTTGGCGTTGAGCAGAATGCCTACACAGGAAGAGGAGGCATGGCTTCAGCTCAACACCTCTTTTCATGAGAAAGCTCAAGATTTAGTAACTTATCTGTCAATAGAATAGAAGGAGCAGTCAAAAGGGACACATCACAAAAATTAGTATATCTATCTTTAAGAATGCCTCAATTACAAACCACTAGAATTTCCCAGAGAATCAGCTGTAGGGCTGATATTGGTGATGCTTTCAGTGGCTAAAAACTGATCTGTCAGAAGTTTTGAAGAACTTTTTGAGACACTGCAGTCCACTTTACTTAAACCCTAATTAGTCACAAAGTACTACTGCACAGGCTTAGAGCCACATTATGAATCACTTTCCTCAGACTGTAATTATTTACCCATAGTTGCCTGCAGAAGCATCACAACACAATTTTCATTAACATGAAATCATAGTCTAGGTTTTTGTGAGGAAAATAAACAAAAGAAAAATATAAAATAAGAATTATAATTAAAATGGTCATGGCATTCTGGCATCTTCTAAACTCTGAAGATAAAATATTACTACATTTATTTTTACATAAGAAATATACATTGACCTTTCTAATAATTTCCATCTAAGTCTCCAAAACTATGCATAAGGTATTCACCACTTTAGGAGAGTTAATAGGATAGGATTAGCCACACCATTTTGTAGCTAAACTGACCTGTTTACTGTTTGTGAAAAAAAAAAAAAAATCAAAAAAAGAACAGAAGAAATAGTACTGTCTACATTCATAATACCTTTCTTATCCCTAATCAAACAAGCGGTTCCACACAATGTCCCAGCTGTCCTCACTCATGTAAGAAATTCACATTAGGGATCACTGGCAGTGATCATCTCTGTGCTGTGTTTTCCACAAAATTCTGGATTGGCATAATCATTTCAGGTAGAAGTCATTTGCTACCAGATAATTTGGGTTCACTTTACTAAATTAAGCTACCTTTGAACAAGCAACACTAGAGTGAAAGGTTCAATACAACATTTGTAGAACCTTTCAAGACACAAATCACTCCTCGTACCTAACAGAGGTTATGAAGGAAAGCATTCAGCTCAAAGAAGAGTGCTGAAAATAAAACTGTGTTCCTGAAGAGCCAGAAAGACATAGTAGTGATCAAAATGCCAGGTGGGGAAGGGGAGACACTTCATACTCCACAAGTGCCATTTCTTGTACTTCCCTAGGACTGTATAACACCATCACACAAACATCAGTAGCAGTGGTAGAAACTGCTGGAAAATACAGCCTATCCAGTGACTCAATGAAGTCCCCAACCCATAACTTGAATCTCTCCATTTACTTCAAAACAAATTCAATGAGCCCCAACATACATGAAAGTTACAGCAAACTATTCCTGAATGCTCATTAATCATGATACAAGGCGGTTTACTGGTTGTCACTTCAAAACAGTGCGTTTAAATTATACCTTTTATTGACTTTTTTGCAGGACGAATAAAGGAGGAGGCAGGAACATGAAATGAAATGCAGCAAACAAGTGGAAACAGCCCCTTTAAATATTTTTAGCTGGTGCTGCTATAGTGAATGCTCGTGGGTGGAGTGGCAGCACTGGCAGATACACTTTTCAGAAGAGATTTACATGAAGTTGCTCTAGGGCAGAGAGCGTGAGTATTACCTTTCAAAAAGAAAACAAACTCCCCCACCCACAAAAACAAACAAACAAACAACCTCAACCCTTGGGTGAAAATGATATAAAGCTCCGAATGAGAAACCACTTGAGGAATGGATTTATCCATGATTCCTTGGATTACTGGTAAGTAATTTGGCTGAATGTTTCTGTTCTAGGGCATTAGTTTTGCATTTTTCTTTGCAAAACGCTGGAGTAACAAATCGCAGAGACTAAATTACCATGAAAGCAGGTCAATTATTTTGATGGAAATTGTTCAGAAGGAAAGAAACGATGCATAGATTCTCTTAAGCTACACTTGATGATGATAACAGAAAAGTAATGGCTGGTAGAAGGCAGTGTGTACTCTTGGATGACAGCTTTGCTGCTGACAAAC